AGGTAGGTTGTGGCCAGGCCACAAGGAACCTGGTATGAAATGCTAAAAAAATTTGAACTTTATTTTGCAGACTACATAAAGCCATTGAAAGATTTTAGACAAGGGAGTAACATTGTCTAATTTGCATTTTATAAGGATCATCCCGGCAGCAGCATAGAGGATTAGCTGAAGAGAGGTTTGGCTAGAGGTAGAAGGGCTAGTTGGAAGGTGGTAGAAATAATTCAGGCAATAAATGATAAAAGGCAACAGGAGCAGGGAGGAGGGACTAAATTAAGAAAACATATTTAGGAAGCATAATTGACTGGTCTTTGTTATTAATTGCATCTAAGGATGAAAGAGGTGTCCATGAAACCTTCTGGTTTTCTGACTTAGCCAATCAGTGGGTGGTGGTGACATTCATTTGATAGGGAAGAGAGGGGCAGAACTGTGGGAAAAGAGGTTTCGTTTGAGGTACCCAGGAGAGTCCAGTTGGAAATTCAGATGTGGAATCAGGAGAGAGTTCTGGCTAGATGTGAACAGGTGAGAGTCACTGGAATATTGGTTCAGTTGAAACCATAGGTTTGAATGAGGCTACAAGGGAGTACATAGGGTGAGAAGAAGTGGACAGGAGATTGGACCTTGGGGAACATCAACATGTAGGAGATAAACAGAAGAAGAGGACAGTGAGGAGGAAGAAACAGAGAAGTAGAAGGGAAACCAAAAAGGATATCAGGAAGTCAAGGGGGAGTAGAGGGAGAACATGATCAGAACAACATCAAATGCTAGAAAATCAGAAATAAAGATGAAGCATGGTAAAGAAAGTCCATTGTGTTTTGAGAATTTGAATGTAATTATTAACCTTAGGAGAGAAGTTTTAGTAGAGTTGTTAGATGGGGACAAGGGTCTCAAGATTTGGGCAGTTCTTAATAAATGCTCCTCTTGCTAAACGTTAAAACATAGCACAGTATTTTGCAGACACAGTTGTAAACAGGATGAGCTTGACAGAAACCCAACACATTGTAGTCAACTGCAAAGAAGAAGTCAACAGGTAATTAACCAAATAGTGTATATAAGCAACGGCTAGGCCTTCCTTCAGGGACACAGAGCTTTGGGTGTGAAACCCTTGTCTCTTTTACTTGCTGCAAGTAAAAAAAAAAAAAAAACAAGCAAACAAACACACAAACAAAGACTACGTAATGTAGTTGTTCTTGACTGGAATACCCCAAGCAGTGAATCCCGTGAGTCTGGTAACAGAGTGGTGGACTGGGATGGGGTTAGTTGAAAGTGAAGGCGAGCTGAATTACAGTAGGTGGAATTAGAGACGGGGAAGTGTGGCTAGAAAACGCACACGACTCTTCCAAGAAATTTAGCTTTGAACAGAGAGCAAGAGAGCAGGAAGGCAATAGTTAAGAAGAGCTGAGCTGGAATCTCCAGAGAGGCTGTTTTCTTAAAGTTGGATGGCACTTATAGAGGGGGAAGAGCATGCCTATGTGCCAAGAGGAAGCCAGAAAGGGGGAGAGGGTGACATCACAGGGATTGAGCAAGGCTGCTGAGGAGGCAGGAGGAGAAGTGATACAGGCGAGGCCTACTGCAATTGGCCCAGCAGTATTTTCTGACTCTAGTTTTTTCACCATCATTTGGTGAATATCCGTAAGACACAATTTTTAGAATAGATTCATTTAATTGGGTAGAGAAATCTTCTTACAATTTTTATATCCCATACCATGCTATGTTAGATGTGACAGGTGTGCCTGCATTTTTAAAAATTCATTAAATCTTTCCTCTGACCAATAATCAACAACACCCTTTCAGGAAGTATAAGTAGAAACTAATTCAAGCCCTTCCAAATCTAGCTAAAATCTTGGTCTCCAGTCAGTTTCCCCTGCAGCTTCCCTCTCCAGCCAGGCTGCTTTGTTGGCTTGCCCACAGACATGCCTTGCTCATCCTGTTGCCTTTGCCCCGCTCCCAACACCAACACAACACTATCCCCGTCTTTTTATATCAGGAGACTGAGCATAAAATCCCAACCTATCATGGCCTACAAGGTCCTTTGGGATCTGCCTTCTGCTTATCTCTCCAATTGCGTAGGAAACTACTCTCCCTCACACTCTCTTCTGTTCCTTGCACAGGGAAGTACATTCACCCTTACCCTGACTGCTGCCTGGAATGCTCTTTCCTTAGCATTTTTCGTGCATGGCTGGCTCCTTCTCATCCTTAAGGTCTCAGTCTGAATGTCACTTTATCTGATTTGGGGAAAGTAGATCTATATGAAGTAAATCCCACACACTGTTATGAGTGATCATAATATCCTTTTCTTTTTTTTTTTTTTGCTTGAAAGCACTGAGAACAATTTGTACTTATTTTATTCATTTACTTGTTTACTGTCCTTCCCCTTCCCACACAACAGAATGGGAGCTCCATGAGGACTGTACCCCTATCTGTCTTGTCTCTTTCTTACCCTCTAGTTATAGTGCTTGACCCATATGTTTTATGAACGAATGAATGAACAGCTTCTCCATAGCCTCAAATCCCAGCTTAAATCCCACCTCCATAGTGAATAATAATAACAGCTTATATGCACTGAGTGCTTGCCTTGTTCCAGTGGGTACATGTGTTATCTTACTTCATGAGCCCCTGTCCCACAGTTTACCTCCTGTAACCCATATAGTAGTTATTATCCAGGCCACACTTTCTGTATGTAATCACAATTTAACCTCATGTTTTGTTATTTAATATACAATTTAATACATGCATCACTCTTTATGTTCCAGTAAAATAAAAATTCTTAGTGCTCCCCCATAGCACACAGAGTGTTCAAGGTATGCTGAGTGACTGAAGATGGCCCCAGAGTTATAACCTTAACATAATAAGAATGTTGATAAGTTGTCTTTTTTACACACTTTGTATAGAAAACCTAACCCACCTTGCAAGTGGACAAACACCATTCTACCTGTAAAATGTCAGAAATGATTAAGGTGAGAGAGTTTTAAGCTTTGAGGCTGGCGATACACAATTTGATCTCCTCATTTTCCAGATGAACTTGCTAAAATCTTAACTTTATAGAAAGGATGGTCTGGTCTGTCAAAAATGTTTGCAAAACCAAGTTGTTTCACATTGAGAAGCCATTGGAAAGGTTCCTAATATTGAGTGTTGACTATTGGATTTTGAAATGCCTACTTTGCAGTATCGTGAAATCCCAAGCTGAAGAGCCTTCCAGTGTTCATGGTTTCAGGGGTCTCTTTGCCCACCCCTAGGCAGTGGCTTGGGGAATCTGGAATCTATCCTGATAGAGATGGTAGGGAAGGAGATCCTCCCAAACTCTTCTAGATGCTTCTGTAGTCTGGACATTCTGTTTCACATCTCACCTTAGGTTTCAGCTGCAATCGATGACTCCTTCGTGTTTTGAGGTCAGACCAAAAGGAGCATCCTTAGGCTCCAAGACTTCCTTGTAAAAGATGACTTCAGGGACAGTTCACTTTCCTCACCCCCCCACCCAGAGTGTGGTCCACCCCAAGGCTGGCAGTAAGCTTAAAGTCCCCAAGGGCCCTTGTTTCTAGCACTCCACCCCTGAGAGCCATGCAAGTTATTCCTGAAATCTCAAGCTCTAAGTACACCCAATAGTGATTGTCTTCTTGGGTTCCACCCTGGAACAGATGTGTGCAGTCAGGAAAATGTTGCCCAACCTGTCTCTCCCCATCTGACAGGTCAGCAGGAAGCACTGTCCTACTGGATGTCCTCCTGGGTATGCTTCCTCAAAAAGAGCCTCCTTCCCCCCCACACACACACACAGAAGAGTGTCTTCTCTTCATTAAACCTTCAACTCCACAGACCCAGCTGTTCATTGCAGTAGAATCTGAGCAATGCTGTACTTTGCCAAGGACTGTTTTTCAGCTTCTTCAGTGGCCAGGGATATAATGAAATGCCATCGTTCTAATAACACACATTTTCCATTCCAGCTGCTCGAAGTTCCTTCTCTGCTAAATAGTTTAGCAATTATCTCTTTGGCCACCACCTACCATCCCGGGGAATGGACTGCCAGAGTGACCTGTACCCCTGTCATTTTAGAGTCCCTGCAAATTAGGAAAAACTCTTGCCATCTTGAATAATGTCATGATGTAGCTTATTTATTTATGAAAGTGGAATGTGGCTATCTTTTCTCATTTTAAATGAAGACTACTGAGAACAAGCACCATGAAGGTGGCCATGACTTACCAAAATGCCAGCTTTGCAAAATTCTTAAATGTACAACATTCCACAGTGGACAGAGAACCTCACATTCACTCATCCAAGGTCTCAACTTTAGATACTGACATTATCTCCAAGTGAGACTGTAAAGTCCCCAATGCGTGTGTTAGACCATTTATCAATGTAAATAAACATTTAAAATACTCTACAATGTAATCCTGCTTTGGGTATTGCTTTCTTTATTTCATTTAATATAAGAAGAACCAAAAAGAAAACAAAGAGGTGTCCGAACCAGTCCCAACCTTGAAGGTCCTGGTTCAGGATCCCACCCCTAAACTGGAGATGGGATGAAAGGGTGACCAGGAAGGAGGGCGGGGGTTGGCAGCAGAACTTTCAAGGCCAGCTGCCGAAGTCTTCGAGATTCGGGCTCTGCGCTCCCGCGGATTCCCGCGGTGTCTGGGCGGAAGTTCAGTCCCAGGCGCCGCCTGAGTCAAAAAGCTGCCGCGCAACCCGCCGCCACCTGGAAAAAAGCGTCGGGGCGCGACGGCGGCGAGGCACCCAACGGGCGGCGGCCGCGGGAAGGGTGAGGCGGGACTGCGCTGGAACGAGGCGGAGCCGACGGTGAACTGGGGCGCGGCAGCGGGCGAGCGGGGCGGAGCCGCGGGCAGCTCGGAGGCAAGGCCTGGGCGGAGACACGTGGGTTGGTCCCGCGCAGAGGGGGCGGAGCCGGGCCCGCGCCGGAACCCCGGAGGCGGCCCTCGCGTGCCGGAAGGGCTGCGCCTGCGCGCTCCGGAGCTTGAGGGCCGGCGGCGCGGGCGCGGGCGCGGGCGCGGGAGCGGCGGGAGGGGTTTCGAGCTTGCCTTTTATTTCCGGCTTTCCTTATTTTTTCAGCCTCGTGGAGTAAACCGGAACGTGCAAGGATTTAACGATGGACAGACCCCTCCTCTGTGTGCCCCCACATGTGTTTGGCTACGAGGGCGCCCACTAAAGCACTTTCAGGGTACGCCTGTGTGGGTATATCTCCCAAAAGTTGGTGTTGAACGGTTTCGAAGTTGGTACTTTTGGGCAAGGAAAAACACTACTGTGGGGGCAGAGGACACTCCAAATGGAGAACCCTAAGGAACCCATTGGTCCTTACACGAGGAGCGCCTCTTTTCCGCAGTCCCGTGGCAATGGTTTCACAGGTCCCGGACCCCCGGGTTTAGCTCTCGCAGAGTCCTGGTTGCCCGCCGGGGGACAGCAGTGAGGCCAGGCCAATTCCACCCACTTTAACCGCCTTGCATCCTGATTTTGTGTCTCTAGATTCTCCACTCAGTGATTTGAGACTTTCAGGATTTGCTGGAAACTACAGCCCCGCCTCCCGATGCAATCTGAATCCAGGCAGTGTGAAGAGGAGACCCCTTCCCTCTTATGGGGTTTGGATCCTGTGTTTCTAGCCTTTGCCAAACTCTACATTAGGGATATCCTGGACTTGAAGGAGTCTCACCAGGTGCCAGGTATGTGGCTGGTCCGCCTGGTGGATGCTCGGTGCTGCATCTGCACCCCACCTCCCCCAAAGCTGCAGAAACCTGGGACTCAGGGGCTTTCAGTAGAGCCTTTCCTCCTGCAGGCTTTCAAAGTGACCTAGCCTGGACCCTCGACTGAGTTCATTTCTTTGCAAGTTGAAAACAGTCTCAATCTGTTTTTCAACAGATGTTTTGGGAAGTAGCCTTTGTACTGAGGAACGTTTTTACCCGGGTTTGAAGTCTCATATTTTAAAAGGCTCAGTTGTGTGTTACTCTGGGCCTGCTCTTGGGGGAAAGCTCACTGGACCAGGCATCCCTAGGCCTTGCTCCCTTTCCTAACTGTGCCACTTACCTGCCCTGGATGTGATTCACCTGTAAAGAGTTTTTGTAAAAATGGTGATTAACCTGATTTTCTTGTTGGGTGTTTTTGTTTTGAATTCATATCAAAATTTGAATTTATATTAACTAATGGAGAGGAAGGACATCACCTACCTCGTTCAAATGTGTAATCCCAGTACTTAGAACAGTGCCTGACATGTAGCTGGATGCTCAAGAAATAGCAATTAGAACAACAAAAGTTTATAACTGTAAAGTTGAAGAAATCACTTTTTTTATTACAGTGGTGGTCACTAAACATAGGCTCTTGATACTTAAAAATTTACAAATATAGTGTGGGGTAGATTTAAACAATTTACATAGCTGTGAATGGATCTTCACATGTTTACTGTGCTAGATGAGAAGTTTGGTTAAACTCTCTTTGCTATTTTGAATGACTAGCAAGCTATGAGTCAAACATCTCAGGTATGCACAGTTTTAAATCAACAGCGTTTTGTGTGTTTCCAGTTCTATGTACAAATATATTTGTATGACTTTATACTAAAGTCTTTTGTACAGATTTTTCACCACACCTTTATTTCTTAATTATTGTTAGAAATGGTCTGTTTTTTCCTTGGAAGGCAGCAACATTCATCCATTTTCCAGAACAATCTGGTATTCCAAATAGCACATCTCCTCAGGAAGAAATTAATTCACACCAAATGCCAGCCTTGCTTAAAGATCTGTAGGTGCTCAAGGAAGTATCGGGTGTGACAGGGCCTTAACTCATCCTGTGGGTGAAGGACTTTATGATGTATTAACAACAAACCAAGGAAAACTGGTCCTGGTGATCTTTTCTGTATCACTAGTGATAATGTTTCAGATTTGGTTTTTAAAATGAAACCTCATAGTTGAAGCAGACATCAACCATAATAGTGATCTTTGGATTATACCGTAGGGTTCTAGGGGTAGGAAATGCCATAGTCTAGGTTTTTATTTTTGTGTTATTTTTATTTTGGTTTGGTTAGGTTTGATTTGACATAAAAAAACTTCTATTTTGATTGCATAAAATTTAGAAGTGTTTAAATAGCAAAGAATATCTTAAAATAACACAAAAGTTAACCAAAAAATAGGAAATGAATGCATAAGAAAGAATTTGGTTGACCTATGTCCTTGGTTCCTGAGAGTTCTTTATATTTCTAGAATGATAGGAGTGTCTTTATTATTCATGGTGGCCCCTAGAACCACTCCTCGGGTTATGCTAATGAGGTGCTTCTTGTTGAGCCCCTAGGTATTATAGTTTCTGGTAGGGGAGTTGTGTGTGCCTGAGAGACCAACCCTGTGATTATTATGTTGGGTTTTGAGCCAGGTGACTTCAGCCCCATTCCTTGGGAAGGGAAGGAGGCTGGAAATTGAATTATCACGTGGCCAATGATTCAATCAATCATGCTTATGTAATGAAACCCTAAAAAACTGTGGACACTGAGGCTTGGGTAAGTGTTCCAGGTTGGTAATCATACATCAGTGTTTCCTGAGGACATGCAAGCTTTGTGCTTGGACTTTGCAGACCTTGTCTCATGCATCTTTTCATTTGGTTAGTCCTGATTTGTACCCTTTATTATAAAACCATAGTTGTAAATATAGCACCTTCCTGAGTTGTGTGTGCCCTTCTAGCAAATTATCAAACCTGATTGAGTCGTGGGAATTTTTGAATTTGTAGCCAGTTGGTCAGAAGTGTGGGTGGCCTGAGGACCCCCAAATTTTGGGCTGGTGATTGAAGTGAGAGCAGTCTTGTGAGAGACTGCCCTTAACCTGTGAAATTTGACCTTACATTGAGTAGTTAGCTTCAGAATTGCCTTGTAAAATGGTTGCAAAATATCAACTACCCTAAATTAACCTGTAAATTTAGGGTTAAACTATTGGATTGTCGGAAAAGTCATGACTCATTTTTGCAACAGATGGCTTTAGTTCATTTTTGGAAGTAATAGAATCATTCGCATCTATGTTATTGCTATGTCATTTGACAGCTGACAGTTCTAGCTTCATTCTAAAAAAAAAAATTGAGCGATTTGGTTCAGTTTTGGAGATTTTACAGGTTGAAGATGGAAGACCAAACTGTGCATTTTTGCCACATTTTACTGTTTTACTTCCATAAAGGGAATAACGCGCATCAAGCTTGTGAAAAGTTGCATAAAGTTTACAGTTACAATGCTCTATAAGAACGTCAGTGCCAATGATGATGGTTCACCAAATTCCGTGCTGGTGATTTTGATCTAAATGACGCTCCTCGGTCAGGGAGGAGCTGAGGTTGATGACGACAAAATAAAGGCATTGATTGAGCCAAACTCACATTATATGACACAAGATATTGCAGAAACATTGAACATCCATCATTCAAGCGTTCACCTGAAGAAAATGGGATACGTAAGCAAGCTCCATATTTGTGTTCCTCATGAACTCAAAGAAGTTCATTTGACGGTGCATATAAACACGTTTAATGTGCTCACTAAACGTGAGGAAAACGATCCTTTTTTGAAGTGACTGATAACTGGTGATGAGAAGTGGATTGTTTACAACAATGTGGTATGCAAATGGTCTTGGTCCCGTCGTGATGATTCGCCTCAAACGAATCGAAAGCCGACATTCATCAGAGGAAGGTTATGCTCTCAGTGTGGTGGGATTTTAAAGGTGTCGTGTTTTTCAAGCTCCTACCAAGGAACCAAACAATCAATTCAAATGTGGACTGTCGGCAACTGGACAGTTTGAATGAATCCGTCATCCAGAAACATCCAGACCTTGTTAATTGTAAAGGAGTTGTGTTCCATTGCAACAACACAAGACCACACACAAGTTTGATCACCTCTCAAAAATTATTGGAGCTTGGACCGGCCGAGAGGCTCAGTTGGTTAAGTACTCGCTCAAGAGTGTGAGCTCTGAGCGACAGCGATTCGAGTCCCAGCCTGAGCTGAGCTGCCGCTGAGCTGCCAACAGGTGGCAGGATGGCTCAGCTAGAAAAAAAAAATTATTGGAGCTTGGATGGGATGTGTTGCCACACCCACCATACTTGCCTGACCTTGCACCATCAGACTGCCACTTGTTTCGCTGTCTTCAAAACTCCGTGCGTGGTATAACATTTAATTCAGATGAGGCTGTAAATCAGCACCTTGTTCAGTTTTTTGCCGATAAAGACAGGTCCTTCTATGAACGAGGAATTATGAAGCTCAGTGAAAGATGGCAAAAGGTAATCGAACAAAATGGGCAATATATCATTGATTGATCTTTGTTCTTTATATAAATTAATGACCTTTGAAAAACATAGAAAAAAATACGTCATGACTTTTCTGACAATCCAATAATAACTGTTATGAAGATTGACAGTGGTGGTGGTGTTTAGATTTAGGGATATTTTTTGCTTTGTCTTTTTGTTTATAGCTCATAGCATCCAGGAATGGTTTATTATTCCAAATGTCTCTAGTCATGTCAAACTAATGATGGGTTACATAAACCATTTATTTAAATCAAAATACAATACTTATATTGTTCAAGTCTAGAGGGTCCAATGATATGGAAATAACGTATTCATAGGAATTATATTAGGGCCGGCCGAGTGGCACATTGGTTAAGAGTTGACTTGGGACGCCAGCTCTGAGCAGCAGGGACCGGGTTCAGATCCCGCATGAGGGCCAGTGACACTGCACCCTCTACAGCTAAGATGGTGAACAATAGCTCGACCTGGAGCTGGGCTGCCGTGAGTCGCCAGCAACGGTGTAGGCTACAGCGGGGCTGCAGTGGGCTGCCGTGAGCTACTGTGAGTGGCTGGCAGCCAGCGTAAGTGGCTGGCAGCCGGCGTGAGTTGCCGTGAGCGGCCATCCTATGGCTGGCAAGTGACTGCCTCACACGGGAAGAGCGCAATAATAATACCAACAGGGGCCAGTGAAGCAACGTCCTCCACAACTAGACTGAAGAACAAAAGGACAGCAACTTGTCTGTTCCCCTTTCCCGATTCCTCCACACTGATCCCCTCCAATTCCCCAATAAAATCTTTTTTTTTAATTATATTAAACAAATATATATTTTAAAAATATTTTCTTAGGCATTTTAATACTATCAAACTTCAATAAGAGCAGTTGTAGCATCAATAAAATAACAGCAGTTAAACTAAAAAGACATAAATCAAAAGTGCTTTTAAGAAAGAAAACAAAAGCAAATGTCAAATATGGATGTGGCTGTTCAGGGGTCTGCTGCTGTGAAAGCTGAATCAGACCTGCCTGCGCCCCTGGCTCCCCGAGCCCTCCCAGGCGTCCCTCCCAGGCGTCCCTCCTCCTTCTGGGGAACCTGATGATCCAGGGCATCTCCTGACACATTTGGGCCTCTGGGCTGCCTGTGGAACAAAAGGCAGCGGGAACAAAGAGACCACTTGGGGACCGCTGCAATTTAAACTTAACATTAGCCAGTATCTGTTGTGGTTACTTTCTATTCTTAGCTCGCCGAGCTTTCTATCAGTCCACAGAGCTGCCATCCAATTTTCTTGAGCTGTTTTCACGTAGAAGAGAATCTTTTGTTGCTAGAATGAAGTGGTTCTTTCCCATTCTTTTTTCATGTCTTTGGTCACCTTGTGGAGGTTCATGTTTCTATAAACTTTGGGAAATTTATTTCTAAGCAGTGTATTTCCTCCTCAATCGATTTTTCTCTGAGTGTTTCTATTCTAACCATCTGTTATTTTCTTCTAAATTTGTTCTTCATTGTTCTGTGATGCTTTTAAGATGTTTTTCTGTCAGTCACTTGGGATTGGAAGGATTTTTTGCATCTCTGAGTGACTGCATTTGTCCTTGAAGGTGAGCCGTTGTCAGTCCATTAGATGAAAGTTTAGTTCCCTTTTTGTGCTTTGTCAAGAAAGCCTATTGTGTCCTCAAATGAAGACCTGTTCAGATCTTTATCAAGTGTTGCCCAACAGAGAGTTTGTAACATTGGATGCGTGGCCTCCAGGTTACTTGAAGACTTCATTGGCTTGTGTCATTAGTCTAATTTTCTCATTGCCTTTTCCATATGCTTCAGCCAGGCAGAATGCCTTTTGGCTAGCTCTTTTCCCCTTCTTAAAGTGTGTTGGCTCTTTACTATAAAAACCACCGTAGCAGCACATACCAAGGTGTCTCAAGGAAACCCAAAGAGTTCTGGGACTGTCTGAAGCTTTCAGACATCATCAGCAGAACACCCCATAGCGGCTCTAGCACCAGCTGGAAAGACATGTCAGGGGCAGGCAGCAGGCCTTCCATGGGTCGGAAGAGCTCTGCAGCTCTACCTCTGATTGCCAATGTCCTGTGGGCCACAGCTAACCATATGGAACCCTGTGGAGTGTTCCGTCTCTAACACAAACAAGTGCCTGGCAGCCAGAACAGATCATCAGTTGGGCTGGGGGAGGGAGAGGCCAGTCAGCTTCTAGAAAACACGTCTCTCTAACTTTGCTCAGAGTACAAATAGAAAGTGATATTATCTGTACAGTGCATTTGTGGAAGCAGGAAGGGCTGACTGCAGCCAGAGACCAGCCTGTAGTTTTGGCCACTCTGAGCCCCACCTGGCCCTACGACAAAGTTGGAGGAATAGAGCAGTGCCATGCTATAGCCTTTCTCTGCACGTGAGCATGTCAGGGCAGGTGGTGGGGTATGCTTCAGTAGAGGAGTCCATGCCCAAATCCCTGAGTGAGGCTCACTCTCCTGGCTTAAACTTCCCTTCTGCCAAGCAAAGAAGTAGGGAAAGGTTCCTGCAAAGGTCCTACAGGGATCTCCCTCCTCCAAAGATGACTTCTCTCCTTTGTGTTCGGTCTATGCAGGTAGGGGCAGAGGACTTCTGGGTCTCACCAAACGAGGTCACCAAGAGACCTGAATTTCAATCGTAAGAACTCAGAAGTCCTTTGGAACTGACTTGCTCTTAAAATTTCATCCACTGAGTATCTTTAGAAGTGTGCCTATAGAGGGCCCTTCTTTTGGCTAAATTTGCCACCTTTTTTTTTTCTTCAAACCACATCTCACCCTTCTAGAATTTTTGGCTGACTGGGGCTCGCTCAGAGCCTCCTTGTCTATCCCCTGGGACTCTGCTGCAAGCAACTTATCCCCAGCCTCTTTATCCACAGGGGAAACGAAAGACTTGTCAGTGGAGGCCGGTCTGGAGGTTCTGAAGGGCGTCAGTGTTCAGACCACAGGTCCCCCTATGAATGTGGGAAAGAAAGGCTCTGACCAGGCTTGATGGGAGCAGGTTAGGGAAGGTGGCCAACTACCTGAAGTGATAACTGATTCTCTGCTTACAATTCATATATTTATTTAAAAAGGAAGTCACCATTTAAAAATTTATAGCATATTCCTGAAAGTAAAGAATTCAGGGGGCTGGCCGAGTGGCGCGATGGTTAAGACGCCAGAGGGCCCCGGTTCGGATCCCACATATGAGGGCCAGTGACACTGCCCTCTACAGCTAAGATGCTGAACAACAGCTCAACCTGG